CCCCAAAACCCTATTCTAATTATTTAGGCCCTTACATTATTCACATCACCCTTCAGAAGCTTCGTAAGAGTTGTAGCCGTCGTTCATGAAGCCGTTTAAGTAAGGCTGAAGCCAGCAGCGGACAATGCAAAGTGCAATCTCCTAAACTCAGAAGTCTTATCTGTAGATTCCCAAAGTCCTGATACAGAATCGCGAAGCCCGAGATACCCGTGAATACCGATGGGTCCTAGGCCCCTATAGACTCAGACCCTTATGATGACCGAACCATAAATAACAACTCGTAGAGCTTTGCAGGGGTTTCGGGCCGCCTGATGCTTCGCTAAGGCAAACCTTGGAGAAGTGCTGCACGGTAGCCCAAGCCCGAGTTCGAAGAGTTTGAGCGCTCGAAATTGGGGCATATAGGTTTTAGGATCTTGGGGATTCAGTTGTGAGTTCCTTGATACACAATCCTGATCTGATGTGCGACGATTTCTCGTTCGGGGTGGTTTGCTTCGATGGACCCCACAACCCTATTCTACTTATTGAGGCCCCTACATTAGGCGAAGTTGGATTCTTGCCCTCGATGCCGGAAATCCTACCGGCCTAGAAGTGGGACTTTCCGAAAATTCGGGTACCTTATTTTGGGGTCCTTATAATAGGGACCCTACTATTTAGGGTACTATTATTAGGGTCCCCTATATTTGGAAACCCCCAAGTAGGCCCATCGAGCTGATGAATCCGAAGCTCCGCATCGACTCCGGAAGTTGGCAGAAGCCCTGGTATATAACCCTAAACCCTAAACCCTAAACCCAGAAGCAATTATAACAAACGCAATACCCAAAGCCCAAAAGCTTAACACTTTAAACTACAGCCCTGAGCCGTAAAGCAAGCTGAATCGCTAATGTAGGGGCCTGAATAAATACCTATACTATTTTGGGGGTGCCCTATTATAATTGTAATATAGTGGGCCTCAAAACCCTATTCTAATTATTAAGGCCCCAAAAAGTTACCTTAAACCTCATAGGGGTGTGTACAGGCTTCGGACATTTTAGTGTACCCCCGAAGCCCAGTGCACGACTTATTCAAGCCCCCCAAAAGATAAAGAAGCCACTATAGCAATCTAGAAGAAGCCTGTAAAAGGAAACCTATTAGGTTTAAGGTTTAGGGTTTAGGGTACTGTTCCAGTCACTAAGATGCCGACATTCTTAAGTTTTTTTCTGCTGATTCTGCTTAGGGTACTGTACCAGTCACTAAGATGCCCACATTTTAAATTGTTTTCTGCTCAGGCTGTGTCCTTGGAAGGAGGGTCTCGCCACGAGCTGTCCTGCGACGTACCGGCTTGGCTTGAGGACGTGCCTGCGGATCGGAGTTTCAGGGTTTTCGAATTTAGGTTTGGGGTTTAGAGGTTTTAAGGTTTAGGGGTTTTCTGATGAAACATGCTCCCCCTACCTTTCCCAGCAGAGGCGCCGCAGGCTGGATGCAAAAAGGGGTTTTCTGATTTAGGTTTGGGGTTTAGAGGTTGTGAGGTTTAGGGGTTTTCGGATTTAGGTGTGGGGTTTAGAGGTTTTAAGGTTTGCGGTTTTCGGATTTAGGTTTGTGCTTAGAGGTTTTAAGGTTTAGGGGTTCCGGGTTTCTGGGTGCTGGCTTTAGGGTGAAATAGTGGTCTCAGCATTTTGGTTAAGGCTTTTGTTCGCCCCACGTCAACCTACTCTAAATTCTCAAGGGGCCTAAATTAAAACATTGGGGTTCTTGGGTTTTCGGACTCAGAGGTTTAGCAGATTTAGGGTAAAGGGGCGCTTAGTTTACATGGTTGATGGCTTTTGGTCCGATCAGTTTCAGCGCTGTATGGTTGAGGATCTGTGTTTTTTCAGTTGCACTCTTTCTCTCTCCCCCCTCTCCCCCTAAATCCGAAACCCTAAACCCTAAACTCTAAACCCTCTCCACCCAAACCCTGAACCATCTCCCTGTTCTCATTCAGGCGTCTGCCTTCGGATGCAAACACCTTCAGAGAGCATGACTGGAGAATGCAGGGGTCGGAATATTAAGTAAAACCTTTTGCCCTTACAGTCACCATGAAACTGTAGCTGGTGTTAAAACCGGTACCCTCGAAGGACTCATATTCTAAGGCCTTTGGGCCCAAAGACCCTATTATGTAAAGCTTTTGGGCTTTTCTGATGCTAAGGGTAGTGTCCCCGCTAGACCTTTGTTTACATGTTAGGCTGTTTTTGTTGGGGCTCAGGGGGTAAGAGGGGCTCAGCTTGTAATCCATGGGACCCCCCGACCATGAGCCGATCCGAAAGAGGATGAAGCATCTTAGGGTTTAGGGGTTTGGGGTTCAGGGGTTTAAGGTTTAAGGGGTTTTGTGTTTTGGGTTTGGGGGGGCTTGGGGTTTCAGTTTCGGGTTTGAGGGTTTAGGGGGATCAGAGAGACGTAATCCTAAACCCTGAAATTTTAAATCCCGAACCCCAAGATTCTGCTGCATTCCAGAGTCTGCATCTTCAGCATCACAAGTCAGAACTCCAGGCCGATAGTGGCAACAGGTACGTTATGATTCGGGCGTAGGGTGTACATTGAGTGAACTATCAATGATTTAGCTGACTGAGGCTTCAAGATGAGATATTTTTTAGGACAACCATCAAGCCTAAACCCTAATGCGAAGTATTAGCTAGCCCTAAACCCAACCCTTAAGGTACTCTGCAAAGTGAGATTAGCGAGCGCTTCGCTTCTCCGCTTTGCTTCGGAGCCGAGACACGCCATGGCAAACTGCTGCGATGATCTCGGCGCCAGCGCGAATATGCAGTTGATCTATGCTACTTGAATGTTTAAGGTTTAGGATTTAGGGTTTTAAGGGTTTAGGGTTTAGGGTTTAGGCTTTCGGGTTTACGGTTTAGCGGTGTAGGGACTGGGGCTACTTGTGTGGCTTTGGTTGTCTAGGAAGAGAGCTGGGCCATTTGAGGGGGCGTTTTCTTTTCTGCGAGCTGCTGAGTTGAATATGGAAATCAGGGACTTCGGATCCAGTATCATTTCTAACTGCAGCAAGCATCGAAACGTCAGCGTAGGAACTGAGTTCTGCTCAGGAACAGCCGCAGATCCCTGAAGATTTAGCTTCAGAAGCACCTCCAGCGAGCAACGACGGGACACTAGATTTCCCATCAAAGTCATAGGATGTCAGACATGGCTGGTAAAAAAGATGTGCAGTAGAGACTGCCAGTAACGTGTGTGTTTTCCTGTTTCGATAGGGCCCCTAAACCCTATACCCTAAACCCCTAAACCCTAAACGACAATACACTTATAAAGACAATATAAACCCTAAGCCGATTCTAGGATTCGATAAACCCTGAAACCAGCCATGAACTGCCGATAACCCAAGGAGTATGGTGGAGAGTATGAGAGACCAGCAAATAACACCAAAGAGGGTAATCCTTAGGAAACATACGGACACCCAAGAAGAGAATCCTCAGGAACATACGGACACCCAAGCTTTAAAGAGCTTGCAGAAATGTTGCAGAAAGGTCATGGCATCCATCTTCTACATCCTGACCTCTGTAGCAGCCGCCGTGGTGCAAGTCTTCGCCGGGGGTCTTGCAGCTGGGTTGATTTTCACAATTTTGGTTTACACCTTAACAAGAAAACCAAAATATGTGCCATAGATGTGTGTTGCGGTATCTTGAAAAACTAAACCCTAAACCCTAAACCCTTAAAACAAAAACAACCCTAATAAGCCCTAAACCCTAGACCGCTGAACCCTTAAAACAAAAACAACCCTAAACCCTAAACCCCAAATCCTAAACCCTTAGCCTAAACCCTGAACCCTAAACCGTAATAAGCTCTTTGACAAGAACCCAGGAAGGGACCGGGGTCCGTCCTTTGGTCGGCCTGATGCTCCTCGGGGCTACCTGGATGTCGTGTTTTAGGGTTCAGGGTTTTAGG